AGAGGATTTTAGTCCCAGGTGGTTCCAGGGACAAGATTTGCAGGCCTCCTCCAACTATACTTTCAAAGCAGCCAGTTACCGTATTGACAGTGTAGCATGAGACAGCGCCCAATCACCGGCATGGATAATCAGGGAAACCAGCTATGTCAACCCATCAAAACTAAGGAGAAGGGAGAGGGAAGCCTTTTTGTTTATTTAGGCCATTCTGGTTCATTGAGTGTGAGTGGGTGACAATAAAATTTACTCAGGAGAATTTTAATTCCTGCCCTGGAAATACCAATTAAGTGACAAGCTGCTTCTCTCTACCCACCAAGCACAGTCTGTTATTCCAGTGTGGGGCCCGCAGCAGAGCCGCAAGGACAATGTGAGGCCTGGGGCGAGGCGACTCCCTCCCTGGCCCACAAGAGCTCCCAGGGCACATGCGTCCAGTGCTGGCGCCCTGCCTGACAACACGACTGGCTTCCTGAGGGTTTGTTGCTCAAAGAGTTCAGCAAGTTTCTGAGTGCCTATAATACTACCCCGAATAATGTTTTCTCAGCATTACACCGTAACACAGTGGTTGACATAAGAATAAAACCCAGTCTTAGAAATACATATTAAATAATTGTATAGTCCACATAAAGCTTAGTCCTTTGTGGTTTGTCTTAGCATTATCACACTTAAATGAAGAAAAATTGGGTTCTGCTATATGTAACAGAAAAAGAAAACAAAATAATTATGGCTTATACAATATTTAAAAGTTTATTTCTGTCTCATTTAAAAGAAGTGTAGAGTCAGACAACATCACAGTCATTGGGGACCCAGCCTTTATCTCTGCCCCATCTTTGTAACAAGTAGCCTCAATCCTCAAGGTCACCTTAGGGTTCAAAGTGGCTCCTGGGGCTTCTGCAATCCCATACAAGTCATCATGTTGTAGAATATGAGAAAAAGCAGAAAGGGGTTCGCTGCCATCCATTTCTTTTCCACATAGTCTGTCAGGAAGCCCCGTTTGAAAACTCCTAGGACTTCTGATCACGTGGCACAGGCAGACATGGCTCGACTCTTTGCACAATGGCATCAAAATTACAACTAAAATATGGGACAGCCATCACTCAGAACTCTCAGAAATTGAGTTAATGGAAGTCTGACAACTGTGGAATTAAAGGAAGCACATCCATCCAGATTGGTAGGAGGGGCACAGAGACAGAAAGGGCTTATCCCACATCCATGTGTGGTGGATAAAAATTTGGAAGGATAGCTTGGGAGTGAGGAGTCCTAGCCCCACACCAGGTCCCCCCAGACCAGGCTTCCAGTGCCAGGAAGATAAGTTCCCACAACTACTGGCTGCAAAAACCAGTGGGGGTTGTGTTGGTGGAAGAAACTTCTGGAGCCCCAAGCAGTTCCTCTTAAAGAACCTATACATGGACCCCCCTCCCTACTCAGACTCACTTCCTCTGAGCTCCAGCACTAAGGTAGCAGCTTGAAAGGCACCAGTGATATACAGAGAGGAACTGCAATGTCTGGTTCCAGGGCCAGCCAAGGCCATTTCCCTTTTCTCTAAACCCTCCCCTGACAGAGCCAGCAAACTGGAGCCATATCCGAGACTCCATCAAACTGGTTAACACAGTTTGACCTACCTTGGAGATCCCCAGAGACTCCGCCCCACCCAACTTATAGACCCACCCAAGCTGCTTTTCCATATGAATGTCTGGTCGTGGCTATGCCTCACAACTTCCTAAATTTCCTCAAACAAGCAGCAGCTGACCTCCATGAGCCCTAGGCCTGGCGCTAGTAGCAGCCAGATTAGAATCACAGTTTGGCTTCACTTGGGAATCTCCAAGCCCAGCACAATTAGCAACCATCTCAGATTGTTTTGTAGCTCAGGCAGAGGGGTCCTGGGCATAACACCCATGGAGGCTGACCATCTGGGAAACCCCAGGGCCAGCACACCCAGGGAACAGCTACAGATTACACTGGAGCCCCTCCATCCTGTCCCTGCAGCTGACCATCCACGGAGGGCAGAGGTTGGTGGTAAGTGATCATAGCCAGTCCTTGCAGCTGACTAGCTTGGGTAAATCCCTCCCATTGACCTACCAACAGCAACCAAGGCTCAACTACAAGAGGAGAGGGTACCCAGCCCTGACAAAGGGCACACCTCGAGTCTCAGTCTGGGTGATGGGGGAGGCTGTACCACTGAACTCTATAGGACACTTACTATAATTGGCGACACTACCAAGACATGGAGTCAAAGCAGTTCTACCTAATACATAGAAACAAACACAGGGAAACTGCCAAAATGAGGAGACAGAGAAACATGGCAGAAATGAAAAAAAAAAAAAAAAAAAAAAAAAACCAGATCAAAACTCCAGAAAAAGAGCTAAGCGAAATGGAGATAAGCAATCTACCAGATCCAAAGTTCAAAACACTGGTTACAAGGATGCTCAAAGAACTTAGTGAGGACTTCAGCAACATAAAAAAGATCTAGTTAGAAATGAAGGATACACTAACTGAAATAAAGAGTAATCTACAGGGAAACAACAGTACAGTGGATGAAGCCAAGAATCAAATCAATGATATGGAACATAAGGAAGCAAAAACAACCAATCAGAACAATAAGAAGAAAAAAGAACCCTGCCAAAATGAGGATAGTATAAGCAGCCTCTGGGACAACTTTAAGAGGTCCAACATTTGCATCATAAGGGTGCTAGCAGGAGAAGAGAAAGAGTAAGATATTAGAAATCTATTTGAAAAAATAATGGTAGAAAGCTTCCCTAATTTGATGAAGGAAATAGACATGCAAGTCCAGGAAGCACAGAGTCCCAAACAAGATGACTGCAGAGGCCCACTCCAAGACACATCATAATTAAAATGCAGAAGTTAAGGATAAAGAGAGGATCTTAAAAGCAGCAAGAGAAAAGAAGTTAGTTACCTCCGGGGAGGTTACCATAAGACTGTCAGCTGACCTCTTTAAAGAAACTTTGCAGGCTAAAAGGGACTGGCAAGAAATATTTAAAGTCATAAAAAGTAAGGACCTATAACCAAGATTGCTTTACCCAGAAAAGATAGTTAGATAAAGAGCTTCCCAAACAAGGAAAAACTAAAGGAGTTCATCATCACCAAATCATTATTACATGAAATGTTAAAGGGACTTATTTAAGAAAAAGAAGAAGATCAAAACTATGAATAATAAAATGACAAAAAATACAACTCTATCAACAATTGAATCTTAAAAACAAAGTAAGCAAACAAGAACAGAGACAGAATCATGGATACAGAGAGCGTTTTGATGTTTGCCAGATGGCAAGGGGCTCTGGGGGATGGGTGAAGAGGTGAGGGGATTAAGAAGTGGTAGTAACAGAATAGCCATGGGGGTGTAAAGTACAGTACAGGAAATGGAGCAGCCAAAGAACTTACATGCGTGACCCTGGACATGAACAATGGTGGGGGGACTGCCTGGGGGAGTGCATGGAGAGAGGCAAAGGGGGAAAAAAGGCGACTGTTGTAGCATAATCAATAAAATATAATTAAAAAAATAAAAAGGAACCTCTTGCTAATATTCAATGAGCCAGAATTTAATCCCATGGCCAAACTTAGCTGCAAAAGAGGCCTGGAAATACAGTCTTTTAACTGGGCACATTTCCATCCCTCTTCTTCTCAATGATATAGGCCAGCAGTTCTCAACCTTCTTGGTCTTAGGAAACTTTTATAACCTTACAATTTATTAAGGATCCCAAAGAGCCTATTGTTTATGTGGGTAATGTCTATTAGTACTTACCATATTAGGAAATAGAACCAAATAAAATAGGCACTCATTGCACTTTAATTTTGTCAACTATACCTCAATAAAACTGGAAAAAAATGCTCCAAGATCTCAAAAAACTTTAAAAATAAAATTATAACTAAAAAAAAAATTTATGTTATATAACATATATTTTCCAATGCAAAAAATAAAAAAGTGAAAAGTGTCATACATTTTTGCGAAATTCCTTAATATTTGACTTAACAGAATACAGCCAGATTCCCATATTTTCTTCTGCATTTACTCTGTGGCAATATGTTGTTTTGGTTGAATTAGGGAAAGAGGATCTAGCCTCACACACATATGTAATTGGAAGATATAGAACAATTTTAAAAGCTTTTCAGGTAGTCGTGGAAATATTCTTTGATGTTATACCAAAAATCATATGATAGTTTCTTAAGGGCTAGTTGCAGTGTGATATCTGAAATCATATCCATGAATACTTTGTACTCTCTTACATTAAAATCCATTAGTTTATCTTACATGATGAATAGATTTTTTACCTGAGTATAATTTTGTAATATTACATAGTGGTCATGTGGAAAATATTTGTTCACCAAGTTATGCAGACCTTTCAAATGTTGACATGTTTAATTATGAAAAATTTTTAAAATCATATCTTTTACTATCACGATTGATCTCAAAAGAAAAGTCCGTTTTGGAAGATGTTGTCAAGCTTATGATGACAAATAGAAGTTCTCACGCATTTTAATTTTCACTTCAAGGGTCGAATGTTATCATTGGCAACAAATACGGTTGGTTATTTCCCTGGGAGTGACAGGCTGATTTTGTTCAGTTTTGAGAAAACGTCTGTCCAACATGTAAGCCTCACTCACCACCGTGTGGCCTGCCTCGGGCCTTCGGGGACCGCAGAGTAAGCTGGGAAGTCAGGGACCAGAAAGGTGACCCCCAGAGTCCCAGGGGCACAAACGCGGTGCAGACACACTCTAAATCTGCCATCCATTTTGAGCTTTGTAGACAGAGCTTTCTGTTTTCCCTTTGCGATCTTTTTTTCTTCTGGAAAATTCCAAGCATGTTTTCGCGGCTCCTGTTCTGGCCGGTGAGGGATCAGACCAGCCCCAGCGGCCCAGGAGGAGGAGGAGCCCCAGGCCGACAGCACGAGGAGCCAGAAGGAGGTGGACAAAGCCAAGGGGTGGGGGCAGGTGGGCTGGGGGAAAGTGGCGGTGGGAAAATGAAGACAACTGTACTCGATTGTTAATGTTTAAAAATGATTTAAGAAAAAAAAAAGGAGGCCTGATTCCCTTTCACACCGACCTGGAGCGGGAAGTATGCAAAGGTAGCTCCCCTGACGAGGAATCAGTTTTCTTAGCTTCTCTCGGTTTCACCTCTGAAGATTCAAAGTGGTGACTTTTGGAAAGTGAATCGCTATTTGCTGTGAACTCTTTTCCAGGTGTGGAGGTGGAGCCTAGGCTGAGAAAAAATATCAAAAGAAAGAACTGCGTGGAATCTGGCTCGTGACTCTGCTGCGTGCTGCCCTTCCATTCACATCACTGATACCCGCCAGCGTCCGCCCAGCATCTGCGGTTAGCCAGCCCGCCGTCTCCCCAGGACCTCGCGTGCCTGTGTCCAGGAAGAGTGCTGGTCCTGTGGCGGTGCAGGTGTCTGCATGGACGCCTGGGTGTGTCTTACGTGCCTATCTGTTGCACATATAAGCAGCAAAGCAATGAAAATTGTTTGCTCTAGGATCAAGAAGGTGGTGTTAACAATGAAAATACATGGAGCAGGATCATTTCCTGCTTCCTCCATTCTAAAAATAATTTTATGAACTTATAATAATATAAACATGGTTAAAATTTTTCTTAGCATGGAGTAAAGTGAAAAATAAGTCTCCTAACCTCTGCCCTGGAAGTGGTTATTACCAGTTCTTATATGTTCTTTAAGAGAGATTCTGCATGTTACGAAAGAATACACACATACATCCCCCTTCTAAAAATGTGTTCTTTTAAGTGAATGAATGGGAGGGTGAAAGGGAGAATCTCTTTGTCCTTGAACCCCGTTTTCAGCCCCTGGTGTGTTCGTGCCAACTCCAGCACACAGGCGGGTGTCTGTGATTTACACATGCAGGTTTTATGCCGGAGGACAAGCTCTTTGTTATAAGCAAACTTCTGGAACCTAAGAAATGAATTTCCTTCCCAGTTCATCTGGTTGTTAATCTTCCTAAAAGCCCAAAACAAATAAAATCCCCATATCGGAGAGCTGTGTGGTGTCCCGGAGGCAGGTGAGAGTCATTTCTGTGTATTTGTCCTCTGATTTGTCATCAATTCTGAAGAGCAATCCAGCAAAGGTGTATTTAGTACAGCTCTCTGCTGACTTTATAACCAACTGCTGGCTGCTGGGGACATAAAACTCTTGATGATTTACAAGTAGTCCATGGGCAAGAAATCCGTAAATCACATTCTGTGCTAAGGGAGCGCAGGACAACACAGACACACACGTTCACCTTCAAAGGGCGAGTGGCAAGCACATGCAGAAAATACATTCATTTCTGATTTGAGGAGAATCGCGAACTCATTGGTGAGAGGCCCACAGTCAATGACCTCTGAAAGTTAAATTGTACCAGGTAATACAGAGCAAGAGGCTCTGCCCTTTAGTTCTTAAGGTGGAGACTCTAGTTCCCAATTTAGAAATCTTCAAAGGAGTTTTTGTGGTCTCTGAAGGAAAAAAACTGTTTTTTTCCTAAAACGTTTTAGCTGCCAAGCCAAAAATGTTAAAGGTTGTCAGCGTTTTCTGATACTTTTGAAACTAATCTGCAACAGATATTTCTCAACTGAACACTCACTTAAAGGTCTTTTATTTTTCATGTGTGATTTTTTTCTAGGCCTGTGTTTAGAAAAATCTCTAATAATATATTAAAAGTAGAAAAAAAAAAGTTTCCAATTCCAAAGCATACCAAGAGTTTCGGAGATTCAAAAGAGAAGTAGATATGGAGTGAAAAATCTTGAAAAACATTTTTGTTTGGAAAGTGAAACTTAATAAATATAAATCTGCTACCGTGAGTAGTATGCCAGTCACCTGCCTCCCCAAATACAGTGTACTGGAGCTAGGCGCTTGGGATGCATTTAGTAAAAAGCCAATCTCATTTGGATCCCAATTCAAACAAAACAGCAGTAAAAATGAAATACAAAATAGAGCACTGGGGAAAGTTTAACGGTGATTAGACATTTAATGACATGAAGAAATTGTACATTTTTAAGGTACAGCAATGATGGTATATATATTCTTAGCTGTTGTCTTTTAAAAGTACACCATGAAATATTTTAGTGTAAAATGACTTGATGATTTGGATTTGCCTTTTATAAACAAGGCTGGCCATGAATCGAGGTTTGGTGATGGCTACATAGGGTTTCATTTACTATTCTTTCTACTTCTGTATTTATTTGAAATTTTTCATCGTGTAGAAAATAATGAAACAGCTAAGTGGAGCTAGAGTGGTTATTAGCTGTTTGAAAAGTTCTTCATTGCTTCATTTCACGCCTGTTATTCAACAGGAACTGAGAGCGCAGGCTGTGTAAAGGACTCTCAGTGAGGCCTCCCGTGACTGCTTGAGTGGTAGGAGCTGCAGCCGGCGCCCTGGTTACCCCAGGACAGACGGGGACACTGCTGAGCAGGAGGCCACAGTTGCCTCCTCCAAGTGTGCAGGGACCTTTCTCCTCTCAGCTGGTAAGAAAGCATCTACCCCATGGTCAGTGTGAGGACTTTCTGTCTGGAGGAGAAACACTAGCTGCCCGGGGGTGTGGGGCTTCATGGCAACCCTACTCCCTTGATCTAACAGGAAACACGACCTTGGAGGAAGAGGAGGCCCAGAGGTCAGAAGCTGAAAACAGACACCACAGCCAGCTCTTCACAAACAAGAGGCTTTATTTTTATACTGTATTCCACCCCACAAAAAGTAGGGGGAGCATTTGAAGGCCTGGCTCCATAGCAGAGAGCCCCTAAGTGCACTTGAAATTCAGGGCCTGGCTCAGTGGACCAAAAGAGAAGGCGACCGCAGTCTCTAGAACTCTCCACCCCTGAGAGACACCACCCAGAGCTCTGCCCAAGGGAGCGAGTGCAGGTCCACCCTGCACAAGAGACAGGCCCCTTGGCCAGTGGGGGAGGGAGAAAGAAGTCCCAAAAGCTTTGTGAAAGCCTCTTCCCCCTGGTGTCTGGGCCTCACTTCCCAGGCCTGGATGAGCCTTCCCCGTCCCATCCAGGTTGTCAATTGTCTTCGGTCTTTCCAACCGAAAGGGGCCCTGAGGGGCTCACAGGAGACGTGTCCAGAGAGCCTCAGGTTCTTAAGAGACATCTCTGGGATTAACAAAATCTTCTAGCTTCATTTTGAATTCCACATTTGGAATGTCACTAAAACATGCCTGCCCGCACAGCCCTGTGACGACTAAGGTGGAAGACAGGGACGTCTCCTGGTTTTCTGCGCACTTAGATCTGAGCTTTGCCGGCAAGATCAGCATTACACCCTGTGTACCTCTGGCTCTCACCCTACCAGTGAGCGTTCAGAATCGGGTCACAGTGGTATTAAAACATCGTAGTGGCTCCCCAGTTGCTCTGCAAACACGTACCAAAGTGTCTGACGAGGCTGACGGCCCTGTGGGCTCTGGCCTGGACTCTGAGCCTTTGAGCACAGCAGCAAAGGCAGGCTCCCTCTGACACCACTTCTCTCGGGGTGGATAGTGCGGCTGGGCTGGACCAGCTCCAATTCATGATCCCAGGTCACAGTTCTCCATTCATCCCAATAAGGTGCTGAGAGGGTGTAACGGGGTAACTTGGCCAGTGTGTTTTAACAACATTAAAACCTGTGCCTGTTTGGAGGCAGGGAGATGGGTGTAACTGGCACCCACTGGCACTGCACTGTGGTGCAGTGTGGGAGGGGGGTGCTCACTGCACCTGCAAGAGCAGCTTGGGGGCAGCTTCTGCGTCACAGAGAATAATCCATTGGTATCTGTCGCCCACACTATACCAGAAGTTCTGCAAGGGCAGAGCCGTATCTGTTCTTCTGTTGCTTTGGTTTTTCACCTCTCCATCCCCATTTGATGCCCCAGTCCTGACACAGAGCAGATGCTCAATCAGTAAATATTGGCTGAATGAACAGATCTCCGTCTTCTGAGCCTGTGATTGTGGCAGGCTCGCCTCCCATCTTGAGCTCTGGAAGCTGTTAGCTCTGACTGTGCTGTCTTCAAAAGCATCATTTACCCCTATGGTTAGCACTTTTTCACTGTCTTAGAACCGGGGCAGTTAGTTGCCACTGCCTGGAGGTAAAAACTCCCAGGGCACTTCCTGGCCTGTGGGACCCCTGGCATCGTGCAGACAGATCAGCTCTCCCAGCTTCTACATGGAGACGCCCTTTCCTAAATCGTCTCCAACTTGAGCATCCCTTTATGCCAAACCCAAGCTCAGGGATGTAAAGCTGTAGGGTGGGTGAGGATGAGGAAGGAAAGGGGTGAGGGAGGCCAGCGTGCAGGGCTCCACCTGTCCTACTGGTGGCACACCCCTGGCCATGCTCAACCGTGTGCCTGTCACCCAACTTCCTGCCCAGAGCCAATGGCCCCCAGCTAGGGACCCAGCATTCCATGAATATGTTGAGGATGAAGCTAGTTTCTGTGAACTAATTCTGTTTTTCCATCTCACTACTTCCACTGTCAAACATGAAAATGAACTCTTGTATGAAAAGATTTTGTTCCTGAGGTATAATACAAATCACAGTAATACACCAAGTGTACATTAATCATATCCTTGGAAAACTAGATATTTGTGATAAAGATTAATAGAAGTCACTGCATATGTCAACATGGCACCAAACCTTTAAAGAATTGCTTAACCCTGTCTGGCTTTGGGTGAGCCTTCCTCAGTAGCCTTGTGTGACCTTGCCTTTGTAACCTACAAAAACTATTTTCCTTTAAAACCTGATGATTTTAACCAAGTCTGCAAGTCTGTTGTAGATGTGTGCTATATAGTCCAGATTCAGGGAAATAAAGGGCACCAAGGTTTTTTGTTTGTTTGTTTGTTTTTAATAAAGAGAGTGAGCTTGTCTTGGCCACAGAGACTGTTTCCATGATTTGTGGTTCCCAGGCGTTGACGTGGCAGGTCTGTTCTGTCTGATTTCACAGGACTCTTCTATGGGCACTTGGAGAAGCCCCAGGCTTGTGTGGGCTGCTGGGTCCAGGCAGTTCTTGCCCAGCCCAGACGTCAGTCTGGGGTGGACGCCTCAAGCTTCAGCCTTGCCAGCAAGAACATCAACAGTCAAGTCACTATGACCTAATGATAACTTAAAGGTTTGATGACATCATTATCCTATTATTATTTATTTTGTATGGTTTAGCCACCGAACATTCCAACAGGAGCTATTCTTGATTTTACTTTATTGCATTTATTTATTTGCTTGTTTGTTGGTCTGTTTATGTAGCCTTTAAGATACCTAGAATCCTCAGGGGCCACATGTCAGCAGCCGAGTTGTTTGGGATGTGCAAATCTACTTTGGGAACTGAGAACGGGCACTGGGGAAGCTGCAGCGGAACCTGTTTTCTCTTCCCTGCTTCCTCCCACCCCCACTCTCCGGACTATGGGAACTTCCAAAGTCATAGCAGTAGTGATTTTGCCCTTGGCTGCTGGAGTTAAAATTGAGACAGCAGTACCTTCCTAGAGGAAAGGAATGGGTGTTGGATAGATGGGTCACATTCCTGTTTCCGAACACAGCAGGGCATTTCTAACTGGATCAGAAGGTAATTTCTTCAGCTCAGTCTAATTTTTACCAGTTTGGGACATTTTACCTCCCACCTCCCCTTGAATGGCATCTCTCAGGCCTCCTGGGCTGCTGTGCTATCTCACTTCTGAAGGAGGTTGTAGCATAGAGCCCTTCAGGTGTCAGCAACAAGGACTTCCATGCCATTCCCTCAGCAGTGCAGTCTCTAGCGAGAGGGGGAGAATACTTCCTCATAGGGCGGAGGAGAGAAGCAGGCAGGGTCCCCATCTCCATGCTGTGTCTCTTCTAGCTGCTCAGTGTCAGGACTGGACCTGAAATGTGAGCAGAAAACACAGACGCGTTACAGCCCACAGCACTGTTCCCAGAACCAACGCCCCCCACCTGGCAGTCGGCTGCATAGAGGTTTGCATTCACCCACCACCTTCCTTGTAGACCAAACATAGCCACAGACACTATGACTGTGACAGTGGGGAGGGGAGGGTCCCCACCACACACACCCTACCTGTCATTTCCACCATCCACGAAGGAAGGGTAGTCCCGGTCGGCAACAAAGGCAGCGTTCTCTGCAGGGTAGATGGTATGGTACTGGGGAGGGCTTGGCGTGGCAGCAGCCACCACTCCAGATGGTGTGAGACAACAGGGGTTCACCACTGGCTGCAAGTAGGCGGTGTTCATCCCAATGGGCTCTTGAGAGCCATAAGGGGGAGGGATATACTGCACCACAGTAGCCCCGTGAAAGGTGATGGGTTGGTTGATACCAGTGAAAACAAACGATTGTCCGCCTGCTGTCAGCTCCGAGTCGACCCTTTCCTCACTTTCTTTGCACAACTGACAGGAAAGCATTTTGAACTTGCACACAGCAATCAGGATGAATGTCACCCCAACCGACAGCAGAATGGGCCCAAGGAGCTGGGTCCATTCAAAGTGGGAGACCCCTTGGTATTTGATCCAGCCCATGATGGTGAACGTGATCCCCACCAGTCCCAGGAAGATGCCTGAGAAGAGTAAGGTGGTCCCCGCCTTGTCGTCATCGGACACCTGGATGTCCGCGGTACTGGGTGTGTAAGGAGTGACCGAAAACATGTTGAGAGGGAAGTCCTCCAAGTAGCTCCTGCCCTGCTCCATCGTCCTCACGCAATCACCAGCTTCTTAGGAGGAGAAGAGATTATGAGAGCTCCCAAGAGCAGAGCAAAGCAATCACAGGCTCAGATTAGTTATGGAAGAACTTTGGGCTGCTGTGGTTAACAGAGTGGAACAGGCAGAGGCTTGAACTTTGTTTAGAAGAATAAAGGTCTGACAAATGAAGTCTAAAGCTTTCTCATGGGTTGTCCACAACTGAAGTTATCTTTTTCACAATTCAATGACAAACTCACTCTCTCATTCATATCCATTCATTCATCTGCTCATTCAAAATGATGTTGAGCTGCCTTATTTGCTAGCAGGTGCTTTTCTACAAACTTAAGGTGCTGTTCAAGGTCCTGTTTGCATCTTACCAAAACCAGGTGCATAGAAATGGCAGAGCAACCTCTAGGACCTCTGGCCGTTGGGGTCCTCTGGCTGCAGGGGTCCTTGATAAATCACCACCCGCTCATACACCTAACCCAATTTCCCTGCTGGGCGAGCTCATTAGAAGTAGGTAGGCTTGACCATGTGTGTATGTCTTCTCACTTCCCGTGTGCCTTTTGCTTTCAGCATTTGAAGAATAATTCCAGGTGCAGGAGAGGAGAGATACCACCAGAAACCTTCCTGTGCGCCACATCATTGGCAGAGGTTTGAGGATCAGACATGACTTAGTGTCTTGGGGACACATGCTTCAGACTCTCTCTCCGTGGTGGCAGCACAGTCCCTGGTCTCCAAGGTGAAGTAAACAGGTGCATTTTCAAGCCCACTGTGTTTTGCAGTCAAACCCAAGCTGATTTGGAGAAGGAAGCTCCATCTTTTTTTAAAAGATGTTATTTATTTATTTTTAGACAGAGGGAAGGGATGGAGAAAGAGAGGGAGAGATACATCAGTGTGTGGTTGCCCCTCATGCATTCCCTATTGGGGGCCTGGCCTGCAACCCAGGCGTGTGCCCTGACTGGGAATTGAATCTGCGACCCTTTGGTTCACAGGCCGGTGCTCAGTCCACTGAGCCACACCAGCCAGGGCAGAAAGCTCCATCTTCAATGACATTATTTGTTATTCATAACTACAGAACCTCTTCAAAGCAATCCCATGAATTTCCTCCTGCACAGAATAGTAGCTGTAGCCCTCTTCCTTTCTGACACAGATCTTATGCAAACAGATGTCTCTGGGTCAGTAGTTAAATATTGTATCAGCTCTTTTCATGCAACATTGAGCAGGAGGAAAAGAGCTGCCCTCTTGCCCTAAGCCAGGACTTGCCATACTTCCCTGATGATAAAAATCATCTGGGGCACTTTTTAAAAGCCAAAATCTGAGCTGCCAATTCAGGAAAGTAGAACCAAAAATTTTCAAGGGAGAATAAGTGTCCCAGGTGCCTCTTGTAACTGGGAATCTTTGGAAACCCTACTCCAAGTTCATCCCAGTGCTCCTGGGAGACCAGGGGATTTTTTTTCTCCACAAAAATGCCTCTTCCTGCTATAGGACAAAGCACATAACCTCCAACTTCACTGCCAACCAGATGGGAAACCAAGCAGAGGACCCACTCAGACATCTCCCCAGAGGTGTCCTTGACCACCGAGGATGGAGTGTGTTTCCATCAGAGTGGGCTATTCCATTTCAGTCTGCTGTTCAAGCAAGTCACTAAGCCCGCCCAGATACAAAAGGAAGGAAATTAGATTCCTCCCCTCTATGGGAAGAATGTCAAGGTCACTGTGCAGAAGGACATGTAGGATAGGAGATATTATTGCTGCTCTGTAGAAAATGCAATCTTCTGTGGAGGAATTTTGACTTGTCACTCTTTGGTCCATAATACTGCTTGAGTTTTTGTCCATTGGACAGCCAAAAGCACCCCAAGGTTTTAGATCAACCATGTTGTGTCCTCCTTCATTCGTGGCTGGTTGGAAAACTCATTCTCACTCACTAGCAAGTTCTTGATGGGACCGATAGGGGCAACATTCTGTCACAGTCATCAGTAATGTCAAGTTCAAATTTTCCCAAGTTTCTTGTATATTTTCACTGTTCTTCAGACTTACACACCAAACCTCCTGTTTTAAACCACCAATCCACATTCCCGGTTAAAAATTATAATTTTGAAATGATTACAGTTCAAAGAGATGAATGAAAAGTGACACTAAAACCACAAAAAAACAGTTTTCTGAGCTTATCAGAGAACTCAGGAAATGAAACTGGCGTGGTCATATATTTAACAAAACAGTTGACCGAATATGCCGTGGTGGGAAGTAAATTGCTTTCTGGATGTCGTGTGTGTGTGTGTGTGTGTGTGTGTGCGTGTGATCAAATGACTTTTAAAAAAAGTTTGGTAAAGTGACAAATTCATCTTTCAAAAATCTAGCTGCGCAGACCATGACCATGCAGGACAATCTGTTTCCACAGCAGTGTGGGCCGTTTCACTTGATTTGACCACAGATGAAATACCACCGGGTCTCTAGTAACAAAAAAAAGTAGCAAATATTTCAACCGCTCAAAGTGCATAAAAAAAATAAAACAAAGCCATGAACTTGGACAACATATAAAAACAGCCATCTGGTAATTTTGTTTTCAACTGTGTAGCTCAAAACCCTTCGAGATTTCCAAAATTAAAAAAGAATATCTTCCCATACATTTGGATGGAAATGACACTGGCTTCCCTTATCCTGAGCACACTGTGGGCGGAGGGCAGGCTCAGTCCAGGGGGTTGGGGAAAAAGAACAAAGAAGCAGGAAGGGGGCTGGATACTCTGCTGCACAGCAGAACCCTGGCACCGGCCGCCATCACTGAAAATCAACAGAAGCAGGAGTGGTCTGAAGGGAATGATCGGGGTGAGGAAACTGGTCCTTGGATTTGCCTCCGAACCCAGTTACTGTGAGAGGAAAACAGAGTCAGAGGGCACAGCTCCCAACTAGGCTTGGAGATCCAGGAGCTGGACCTCCCACGCTAGGCAGGTGCTTCCTCCGTGATGTGGCTGGTTCCTAGGGCTAAAACAGCAAAAGCAGGCAGCTGTCACGGAGAGAGGTGGCTAGGGTCCGAAGGCCATGCTCTGCCCAGCTGTGTCAGCAGAGGGCCAAGGTCAAAGACTTGCAGGGAACATGAGCAAGGCCACGTATGTTGCTACTCAGCCGCACCCCTGCAGATGTGTGGCAAGAGGATCAATGCATATAGTAAGGGCCCTGGACGGGACAGATGTGGAACCTCAACCCTGAGAGATGAACCTGAACTTCAAAGACTGTTGGATGCCTCCTGGTCAGTTGGAGATAGGTGTCTGGGGGAAATCTCAATAGTAGGGACTACGCACTGCTAACCTGTTCCATTTACTTGAATTGTGTACGATTATGGTGGCAGATGGTTCCGTTCACCTTTTCCAATAAAAAAACGTGATGGTTGAACCATAACTACACTATCGTAGCTATAGTACAGTCACGTGGAAAGCCCAAACTGTCTGTAGGCATTTTACTTTGGTACAAGAATCACAAGAATACGGGGGGGCGGGCGCAGGAGTCTTTGCTGTGATGACCCCACAGATCTGCCTCCGCCTCTTGTCTGAGCTTCCTGTACCCCGGTGCGGGCAGGGCCTCAGCTCCACAGATGATTAATCTCTGAAACAGGGAAGGATGTTATGTGACCGAGTAGCAGTGCAGGAGGACAATCTGTTTTGCTAAACTGTTTTTAAACCGCTCTTCCATGAAGGGCACACGCACGCAGCTGACAGGCGGTCTGTCTGTGTCTGAGCCAGCCTGTCTGCCCCAGCCTGGCCGCTGGGGCGGGAGTGCTCAAGGTGTTCTCTCAGACAACCTTTAGATTTCTTTCTTCCTTTCTTTTTTTTAAAATGAACTGAATGTTGCCTTGATGGAGTTGGAATTTAGGTCATACTCGCTGACATTTTCAACAAACAACAAGGTGAGCCTCCCAGGGGCCCAGCTGGTCATCTGAGGATCTTCAGGAGGGGGCGGGTCTGCCTGAGCGGTAGCCCCCTTACCAACTCAGGAGTTTATGTGCTGTGTGTTCGATTTCCATTGTGGTGTAACTAGGAACAGAGGCTATGATGAGCCTCATTCAGTAGCTCACACAGTTCTGTAGATCAGACGTCTGTCTTAGACAGAGGTTCCGGGGAAGACTCCGTTCCTAGGTTCATTCCGAAGGTTGGCAAATCCAGCCCTGTGCGCACCCAGGACAGAGAGCCCCTTTTCTTGGCAGAGGTCACTTCTGCTTCCAGCAGTCACCCACTTTCCTCCTCCTGTGGCCCTCCCCATTCTCAATAGGGCTGCGGCGCTTGCAGCTGTTCTCCAAATTGAGGTCACCTTGACTTCCCATTCTGGCTTCTCCTTTTGTCTTGTTTTTCTGCTGGAACAGCCACAGAAACAGCTCTGCTTTCAAGTGCCCGTATGACTGAAATATACCCACCCAGATAATCCCTTATTTAGATCAACTATGCCAAAAAACAACACAATCGCAGGAATGATATTCTTATCACATTCACAGGTTCTGGGGGAACAAGAAATGTGGGATCTTTTTTGGAGGAGCGCATTTTTAGAATCCTGCCCATCACCTTCTGTGTCTGTTGCTGGGAGCCAAGGAGAGAGTTATTTAAGAACAAGCGATTCAGACAAGAATGACCCTGCTGGGACTGCGTTTGTCCAGGCTCTACCGAGAATGTTTAAGTGACGGCACTCGTGGGTCTTGTGTCCAAGTCACTGCCACACAGTCGTTCTCATGGCGAGGTCCCAGGACTAACAGCAGCAGCATCCCCTGGGATCTCACCAGAAATGCAAATTTGGGGCCCCCTCCCTGACCTACTGAATCAGATGCTCTGTTGTGGATCCAGGGGTCTGTTTTAACTGGGTGATTCTGAAAGTTGCTCAGCTGAGAACTATTTCTCAAAGGCAAGTCTTCAGTTTTTGGTTTTACGAAATTGAAAGTGGGGAAGGGATCAGATAGGTCGTCTCCAGGGTGACTTCCATTCCCAACCATCTATGATTCTGTGAATTTTACAGAAATAGTTACATTGTCTAAACCAAAGTCTCCATGTAGGCACCTTTGAGTGGGCACTGCGTGTGTATGTGAGTGTGAGCCTGCACAC